TTTGCCGGACGCGCAGAATCTCTTCTTGCGTTTCGATCGGAGTGGGGCAAAAATGGCGCAACAGACTCGATGGCAAATAGGTCAATTTGTGTGCCCAGAAGCAGCCACGAGTGATCAAAACTTGTTTTGTACGTTACAAAGAGCATAACTTGTAATTTTCATTCCTAGGGTCACTTAAGGTACCTGGAAACGAAAATGTTTTGTCTGCATGTACAGTTTTGCCATTTTTTTTTCAAGGAAATACCCCGAATAAGGACAAACAATGGATCTCGCACGCCACAGGGCTTATTACGTTTGTCGGACCATCAATCAGTGAAACGAGATATGCGCTCTTATGATGGCGGTTCACAACAGAAAATGAAAAACGCCATGGGAACGGTGTCAATCAGAGGCATCCGTACCGAAAATCGTGGACGTTATAAACTATAGAGATGATGCACTGTGAACAGGATGAGCGCCCCGTAGATTAAGGCATTCCAAATTCACAGTTCAAATTAGTGCGCATGGATTTTCAACCCTTTCCCAGCCTTCCCACGGCCCTGTAGCCGTGTCTGCTAGCCGATCGATCGCCGGCTAGTAGGAAACTTACATTGGGTCAACTTTAAAAGATTTAGCAAAGAATAAGGACTGTTCAAGAATTGACGCCCATTTCCCTTTAGAAAGAATGAGTTGTGCAGCGACGATTGCCATGTGCACCAGGCCAAAAAAACACCGTTTTCCCTAGCACTATTTGTAATTAAAGTGACTCCAGAACTAGCACCCCCTACCGTGGTTTTTTCTGCCCCGTGTCCAAATGCTCCTGTAACAGGTAATTTATTATTTGGGGTCATAATATTTTATCTCCCATCACGTAGGACAATTTTGAAACATATGAAAGTTATCTCACACTAAGCACAAACATTTGACGTCACTCTCTCGAATATTAACACGCCCTCTGGTGAGGGTGAACATGACCGCCCTGAATATTTTTTTCAAAATAATTTCCGGACGGTGCATTGAAACGACGCCAAATTTTGCTTAGATGTAGTAAACTGAATGGCAAGTTATTTGGCATCAAAAATTTAGATCCGCCAAGTGAGGTCTGCGGCAGGTGAAAGCCAGGCCATCGATTCAGTGAAGACAATTTCTAGGAAATCGTTCAACCTGATGCAACAACGGAATGTTAGACCAAGCCAAACATCTCTGTTTTATTTCCTTCGGCAGCACAAAAAAATGCACAAATTCCAATAATCTGGGGACAGGTATGAGAGCTAGTCCAATGTCAAACCAACCTGTTTTATCACTGTAGAGCTTGCTGCGTGGGACTTTCTTGTGCTCATTTCAAATTATTTGGTAGCAGGAAGCACACTATATATCACGTATGCACTTCTTAAAAGCCAGAATAGGTCTCTGACCTCAAATGACCCAGTTCAACATTTCGCTTTAAGGAACATACTGACTAGCGTAATGCTTGGCGATTATTTAACTGCAAAAGTCAAAGCCGTCTTGTATGATTCTGATCCCCGTGGCCTTCAAAAGTTGACACAGTTTCACTGACTTTGAATAAGCACCAGGGACCCTTAATTAGAACGGGTACCTAGGTTCAAGATGGTTGCATGAGAACTTCTGGGGGTACTTTCAACACCAATCTAGAGTTTGTCCTTGTTTGACCTTACTTGACCCAAAGGTCAGGACATAGGAACCTCAAATTTAGACACAAATGAGATCACATACATGCCAGCACACCCTGTAAATGTAGCGCATCTATCTCTCTCCCTTTCTGAGATCTCAATGGGTTTGAATTGATCCGCCCACCTGGGCAAGGGTATTCAACCCGCCACCCGGGCGCGTGTTATTGGTCGCAACTCTTACACTGAAGAAAGCGCGGCCGTAGTTTTAGGTGTTGCAATCTCCGAGAGTTCCGCGTGACAGTGTTGACGTCTAACACAAATGCGTAGTATATCCTAAAAGCATCACACAACACGCTGAGCATCCAGAACCTGTCCTCCAGCAGACTGGAGAAAATCCCCATGCTTGAAGTCAGTGTATGACAGCGTCGACAACCACGGGACACGGTGTACTTTGCAAGGACTCCGATCCCAGAGCCACCCAGGAAAGCAATTTATGCGTTAGAATTGCTGACAAAGAAATAGTTCATGGTAGAAAAGGCCATCTCTTGCACGATGAGCAAGGTTTATGCTCTTACCCGGTGCTTTGTAGTAATAGCGGCGCAGTGCCCATGTAGCTACGTCGTAGATATAAAAGATACATTTTCACTGAACCTTTATTTATCACATCTAGAAGGGAGACCATTAAAAACATGCATAACTGAGATAACACGAGGGCACCGAGGCATGCGTATGGGTGGAAGGGGAGCATAGACTATTAGAGTAAGCGGGCGGGGTTAGATCTGCCTCGGTAATAGATGACACTTGCTTAAACCATATTCCGGCTTTTAATGGGCCATGGTGATATGAAATTTATTCGTAAGAATAGTCTGTCCTTGTTTTTATGCGGAACGCAATGCAAAAGGGGTATTTTTTTGGCAGCTGTACTAAACATACATTACAGCTGACTTTCCAAAACTTTTGAATCTCCATGGCAGTCAATTTCACCATCTAACAGAATTGAAGCTATCGTAGCTATCTAAAGTGATCATAAGATATGTTTGTGGAAAGCGCGACGAATCACAAACTGTTTCAGACAAGTGCGTCATCCATTCGCCTCGCACCACCTTTGGGCCACGTTAAATGCTATTGAAATATGTAAGGTCACCAATCGCGCTTTTTCTGCTTTTTATGTTACCGAGTTCATCTATAACTTTTTAAAACAGAATTTGGCCGCCTTTTGAAACCAACCCCGGGCAAAATAGGCATAGACGACTGATATGCCTCAACCAGAGCAGGTAAAATTTAAAATCTCTTAACATATGTACCCGTGCGCTTTCACTGGCACAGAAACACCTGGGGCTGCTGTTAATCACATTGTGTGACTCCCTGTTCACTTTTCGCCGTTCAAAACATTGCAATACGCAAGTGAAATACTTGATAATCTCTCGCTCACAAATAAAGCACATCTGTCTACCGTTTTAACAACGGTGCGTGACATCGACAGTGATTCTTAACCCATGTAGGTACATAATCAGCCGAGCGTGATATGCCAGGCAGCTATAGTTGGCTGCCTGTAGTTGCTAAGGTGGTAAAACACGACGAAGAGCGTCAGTCAACGGCAAGAGGTGCTGCTTTGTGTCACAATGCCCTGCAAAGGCATGCCGCATATAGGCTGCATCATGTGACACTTGTTCTCTGCTTGCCCAAACTTATCCCACTGCGACCTCGTGCTTTAAGTGTATTCGTTTGTGGTCAGTGAGAGGAGCTGACATGTGTTTGGACGTTCCAAGTGTACGATAAATGTCCATGCACCGAGCAATCCGCACCTACGTGACAATCTGTGTGACACCAAACTAGTGAGAAACTGGACAGCGTTTGCACCGGGCATTCCAAAAGTAAATGCAAAATGCGTCAACCAAAATGCAAAATGCAGTCTTGGCACTGCACGGCATCACGCACCTATTCGTGAGCGCCGCACAATGCAAACACTTATACGTGGGCGGAATAAGTGGTATCACAAGGAGTGATACCACTTGTTCTTGCCGCGGCACTCCATGACAACAGGGAGTGCCGCGGCAGTGGCCGTGCCGGCACTCCTTGATGTCACCGTATTTTTTGGTACCATTTTGCCATAAAAAGTGCCTGTTCTGATGGTTTGCATCTAACTTTTTCCACATTCACCATCGCTTCACACGAAGATGAAGAATTTAGAGGCAGAGAGGCCTCTTTGAATCCTAATGCGTGCTTTTCGGATTTGTCCAAATTAGGAGTGGGGATAAATGTTAATATGAGGGTTCGGACGAGTCATAGCAAGGGTGCTTAAGCATTACCTCCAGTTGGCGGACCTTTTCTCCCTTGCCGGGCAAACAGGTCACAAAAAACCTCCGATTCACCGATAGCGTCCTAGTTTAGTTAAGAGTCGAGTTGAAAATGATGTGCTTTAACCATGCTCTTGGCAAACATGGGATTGGATATGACTAGCAAAAAGGCAAAACAGCCGAAATATTTATGCCCGAGAATTTTAGAGCTTTATTGTTTAGGCATTTCAAGTCCAATTTTAGGCTTCTAGGTCAAGATAATCAGTATATCCAGACCGGTGGTAGAAAGTATTAGAGTTCGTCAGGCCCTGGGAATCAAAGTTATTGAAACTGTAGATTTGAATGGCTATTGAACAGTTCAACGTGATCTATTTGCGCGATACAGCATATAGATAGCATTGCCTCACAACTATTTGCTCACCATGGACCATTGATGCGTCACCACGGTTAAGCAACAAAAGAAGCAGCTCATTCGCCTGGAAGTTCTTCTGTGGGCGTGGGGATCTGGCGTCATGTCTCATTGACCCGAAATTACCAGATGCAATGTTTTGTTTTGTTTTTGGCAACAGGCTCAAACAAGTACTCACCTATGTGGCAAATTGCATGGTGCTACCCTTCATTATATATCCGCCGTCTGGAAAACACTGCTATCAGTAGATCCATACCTATGGTAGCACACTTGACTGAATTGATCTAATTTTGAATCGCAACTGCAGCAAGCTATGTAGGTAGCTTACAACGTTCCGTACTATGAGGCACTCATGCTCGCCACATATGAGCCTCTGAAATAAAGCCCCCTTCTTATAGCGAGTGGCATGGCCAAAAGCATCAATTGGACCTGACTTATTGGTTTCAGAATTGAACTTGACAGATGTAAGGATGAGCGCCGCTGCAAGCTCTCAGGAATAGTCCGTCGCGATTCGTGCGAACACATTGCGGGGTAGAATAGGGGCATGTTCCCATGGTGTCTCCAAGGAACCAACTCGCCTTCACTGGCACCACTCCGCCGGTCATGTTACGGTACACATTTGAGGAGCATATCATACCCAACTGGGCGTAGTTAACTGAGACCAATGTCTTCAGGAGTGCCGCCATGCTCTCGTCATTCATCGGAGCCGCCAGCACGGCTCCCTGTGTCGTCTCCGAACAGGCGTCCTGCGCGGCCGAATGGTTCTTCACGTCCGGCATACAGCGGTAGGCCACACCGCCAGGCCCCAGGCGGTAGCCGGCCGGCACGCGCCGAAACAGCGTCCAGTAGCGGCTCGCCCGACTCCGAGGCGAGCGGCTCCGCCCAGGACGCTGCAGGTGCCGCTGGCCTTCTCGAGGCTCCAGGAGAAGCAGTCGGACCGACGGCTGCAGAAGCTGGAGCACTGCAGCGGCGAGGCGCTGGCAAGCCGAGCGAGCAGAACGCCGTGCACGCTCGTCCGCAGGTACAGGACGGGCGCCGTGCCAGGGCCGCTCAGCACACGCCCGAGCAGCAGCAGCAGGCACAGGCGGGGTCGCAGCGTCATCGGGCCAACCGTCTGTGGACGGCGCGGCAGCGGTCGGGTCTTCGGCACGCGGGAAAGAATGTAAAGCGATTATACTGTGGATATGCTGTTTAGTTTCACTTGCATGAGTCTTGCCTGGAGCCAAGTCCTGCTAGGTCTGTTCTCAGCTCGACCAGCACAAGGATTAACACCCAGGATGGAAATCCAGAGAACATTCGCCAGCCGTGTTGACGTGGTTGCCACGACAGTACAGCGCGTTTGCATTCGTTGCTTACCAATGAAAGGCCGCGGGGAAACGGCAGTATCCTCCGTCCCCACACGAGAAATGCCACAACCACACAGAGAATGGTTTCTGCAAGTTGATGGATTTCCGCGTCAGCAAACATAAGCGCCACCACGATTTTCAACGAATACATCCTGAATACCAATGCCTTTCTCACTGGCTTGTGAACACGCCGTGAACATGAAACCTGTGTAACCTCACCTTACTCGCCTTTTTAGTCAGAAGTCACAAAATCAGTGTCGACTAGGCATTTTCGGCATAAATCGGATATGTTGAAATGACTGTGTGCGATGCATACAGCGTTCGGGCTGGATTTTCCCGCCTGCTGCACACGATGACGCAGAAGAACAGGACGTTCACTTGGATGCCTGTTTGTAAGTTTGGCACGGCTTTTGATGCCGCAGCTGTGCGTTCGTGGGTGCATGGGAGGATACTCATGCGTCAGCAAAAACCGTCTGTAATTATGGACTCACTTGCTTCAAGGCTGCTACCAAAAGAAAGCTGTGGAAATGAGAAGTAACCAAGTTATTTGCGAACTGCATCGATTCACAGATTGCAGATAATTTCTTGGGGTTCAATTTTACAAAAGACTTTACCCGCGCCCTGATTTGCCGTTTTCAAGACGCGGGCTGATGCGGGGCTGTGGTTGATGCGACTTCCCCAGGCGTTCACAAATGAATAGATGAAGCTTAGCGGAAAGCATCAGTGGAATGATCTCAACAAAGTCTCATCATCTGAAATATTTCGTGTGTTTCGTACTTCAATAATTGACGCCATTATTCCAGGTCAAAATGCAAATTTTCATGAAAATTCGACTTTGCCAGCTTTATATGTTCAAATGTCAAATACCTCGACTCGCAGAGACACAAACCCTAACGAGGCAGGCACGTTCCTTGTTCAATTCTCAGTACAATGATGCCTATTTATTTTTGTGTTTCGGTCATATATTTATGATGCATGACTCTGTTAAGACACGCTCGGTTGGGGGTCCAATTGACTCCCAATGGTTTGTCCAGAATGGTTTCCGAACGGCGCGGCGTAGCCGCGCCAAAGATAGCATAACTGTAGACAATTGAATAGTGGATCGTTTGGCATCACAAATTTAGATTTACCTTGTAAGGTCGCTGGTCTATGGCAGGTCAGTCAGGTTATGGTTTCAGCGAAGGCAATTTCTAGGGAATTCTTCAATCTGATCCAACAACGGAGTGTTAGACGAAGCCATACATATCTGAGATGCTTTATAAAGCAACAAAGCAGTTGAATAACCAAATAAAATTGACCTAAGGTCAGGTATGAAGGTTACACCAAGGTCAAAACTAACCTGTGTTGTTACTCCAGGGCTTGCTGTGCGGGATAGTTTCTGGTGCTCATTTCGTGTTTATTGATAGCAGGAGCCGCATTATACATTTTGCATGGACTTCTTAGAGGTTAGAATAGGTCATTGACCTGAAATGACCCAGGCCAATATTCTGTTTTATGAACATACTGCCTAGCGTAATGTTTGTCGCTTAGTCAAATGCAAAACTCAAGGCGATCTTGTATGATTTTGGTCACCTTGACCTTCAAAATGTCAAACAAGGTCACTGACATTGAATGAGGATGTGACGTTTTGCTTAGAAACGGTGATCTAGGTTCTGGGGTCACTTTGGAGACCAGCCCGGAACTTGACCTTGTTTGACCTTTTTTGACCCGAAGGTCATGGCCTAGGAACCTGAAACGTTACCCTAAGTGGGTTCACGTACAGGTCAACACACCCTGTAAATTTAGTGTCTTTAGCTTTCTTAGTTCCCGAGACCTCAGGGGGTCAAACTGACCACCCCCCCCCCCCCACCCGAGCGAAGGGTATCGAGCAGGTCACTCGGGCGCGTGTTAATGTAACCATGTCGGCCCGCCGCGTCCGCTCCGCGGCATACTCGGCAGCCGTCCGCCGTCCGCCCAGCCGTATATCGCCGTGCAGTGATCCTTAAAAAAACGCCGCTGCCACAAAATCAGAAAGGCTGGGAGCACGTTTTTGGCTACAAAGCACGCGCAATGGACGCCCTGTAGACAACTGAAGACTGGGCGTGGTTGCAAAATCTTTCGGAGAGGTATCATAAAACAACCTTAAGGAAGGTTTCATCAATCACCTCCCATCATGAGGATTAATCGAAGGGCTGTGGCAGGCAGAAGACTTTATGCCTGCAAGTTATTCTCAATTAAGTAGATTTATCTGTTTTTTTATGAATTTTCGTTATGTAGTGGAGCTAGAGCTAGAGAGCTAGAGGGCTACGTTCGAAGCTTTGAATGGATGAATTTCTGGGATCAACGGCAACGCTCAACAGAAATTGTTGCTGCTCAACAGTATCTCACCATCCGTTGGTTCAATTCCAGTTCAAAGATAGGATTTTGCGGCGAAAGGTTAACGTGGCGTCGTGACCTTCACCTGTCATCCGATCATTAGCGCGGCCGCTGCCACTGGCTGCAGGCCATTTCTGTCAGCGGCAAGCAGCGTGCGCCTTAAGTGACTCGAACATTCTACGCTCTTAGTGGGCTGATTTGGAAGGCTGGCGCTCTAATGTACTTCTGTAAAAAAGTGCCTCAAAATGATGAGCATGCGAAAGCATTAGCGTGCGAATGGCTATGTTGCATTTGGGTTATATCTAAAATATGATGTTGATTATTTGAAATTTGTTGGCTGGCACAAGCAGCAGAACTTATGAAAAAACAGCAAATACATGCCGCAAATTTACGCAAATACAGAGCCAGACACAGCAAATTGATGCAAGGGAATATTCATCCATTACAAACCCTTCACCTGAGGTCTCCGCTAATTGGCCAAAAATTGAAGCTGCTATCCGTTTGTCAGTACATATCGGATCTGGTCAAGGCTCTAAATGTCCTCCAAAGTAATTACGGCAGTGCTGACCAGAACCGGACTGTCTAAGAGCGCTGCTACCTGACACTTCCGCCAACACTTCACCCACGGCAGACAATGCGACAGCCGTGAGCCATCGCACCCGGCCACACGAGAAGAGAGCCAGCATCGCCGTTACACCAGAACCCGACGAGCCGGGTTGACCTCGCTTTCAGCCCACCCGAAAAGTGCCTGATATCAGCGGTCAGAAAGCCATAACTGGCGCCACCTTCTGGAGATGTGCGCCAGGCCGAGGGTGCCGAGTGCGCCTGTGTGTTAACTTGGAACAACTACGTCGGTGGCGGTGCTTTCACAGGACGTGTGGATGCTCTCTCGTTGGTCAGTAATATCGTTAGCGATATTATCCATTTTCAGTTCGCGAATGCCCGTAAATGCCTTCTCGTTGTCTCCTCATCCTTTGAAAAGCATGTTGAATGCGCGATTTCTCGTAGCGTTACGTTAAATTGATGCTGGGCTGACGTCAGCGATCGGGAATTGCAATGGCTGGCATACTGACCTTGGGGCGGGCCATCCTTATCACCCCTGTGACGGAGTGGCTGGCATACTGACCTTGGGGCTGGCCATCCTGACCACCCATGTGACGGAATGGCTGGCATACTGACCTTGGGGCTGGCCATCCTGACCACCCATGTGACGGAATGGCTGGCATACTGACCTTGGGGCTGGCTATCCTGACCACCCATGTGACGGAATGGCTGGCATACTGACCTTGGGGCGGGCCATCCTGACCACCCATGTGACGGAATGGCTGGCATACTGACCTTGGGGCGGGCCATCCTGACCACCCATGTGACGGAATGCGGCACGGCGTCATGACGTGGTCGTCAATGTCATTGTGACGCCTAGATACAGACATGAAACAGGTCAGGCACTTAGGTAATGCTATCTTTAGCCTGGCTATGTCAATTTTTCTACACAATATTGTGAATTTGAACAGAGTGTATATGAATTCGCCCAATGCTTAGTGACTTTTTTCGGCTCCGGGGGGGGGGGGGACAGGGGCACGAGGCCATGCCCTCGCCCCCCGTGTTCCCCCTAGCTGCGCCTGTGAAACAAGCGAAGTTTCTTTCATTTTTGTAACAAATATGCAAATCTAAACCTGTTTCGCCACAAGCTCGGCTTTGTTCTTCCATAAGCGTTTGGAAGTAAGCCGATAACTATGCATAACACTGTGGGGCTCAGTCCGACCCGTTTATAGCCAAGAATGGTCATGCCCGTGCTGCCCTCGGCCCACTCATCCCAACCATTCTCCTGGCGATCAATCAGAAGCACAACTATGAGCGGAACTTGATTCCGTTTACATTGTCAACGGTGAGCTGGTATTGATAGCACCGTCCACACCATGGTCATCGTCTGTTTGTTTTTGGACATGTGCTACACAGGGTGTGTTTAGTTTACCAGGTCGTCCGTTGTCAAAGTTGTCAGTCTGTTCTAAGAATGGAAGGTGCGCTAGCATCAAGACAGACCGAGTTGGCCAGGAGAGCAGGCTCACACGATTGGAGCATGTTTTCACTACATTGAGAAGCAACAGCTGTCGGCGTCATCCAGTCGCCGCGGTTCACCGCCATCCAGTTTGAGGCAACTATACTGATTATACATATATAAGACAGTAGTGACGGCCTTATTCTTTGGAAAAAAACCGGAAGACTGGATATATAGATGAGTGGATAATTCGACGGCATACCTTTATCGAGGCAATAGCAGAA